TTACCTGGGCCCAATGCAAGGCCCAGCTAAATTGAGATCATTAAAAGAAAGAAAAAATGAGCCGTGTGTGAGATGACAGCTTTGCAAGAGCTGAGAAGGATGCAGCATGGCACTGGAAATACAATTAAACAAATATAAGAAAGTCTATTCAACATTTAAATGCTCAGCCTGTGCTAATGTTGACTCACTGGGAAGGATCCGGATCCTTCTGGCCTCTGTGCAAAGGCTGCATACAGGGTTCATCCTCTTCTTCCTCTCCCTTTCCACTGCCAAACATGAGATAACGCACAAGCCATACACTGCTTAGGTTTTCAAGACAAAGCCATAAACAATGCTCACATTCCAACCATTTACCTTTCCATTTACAAAATAACAGAAATTGCAATATGGTACTATGCTTAATACTCCCCACAAGGCCATTTACCTTCATTCTTTGCATATAATAGGACCACTGGTTTTCACTAAAGAAAACTTATTTTCCTGGGTCAAGTATCCCCATCCTCCCAGATGACGAAAGTGAGCCAGAATGCACTGTGGCCCTTTTCTCCTTGATCCATAGCCCATTGCTCAGAGCATAACCCGCAACTGGTGCCTTATGGTTGCCCAGGACTTACACGAGTCTCTTTTGTGACTCCCAAAACCAAATTAAACAGAAAACCTGATAGGGCAAGAGGTACTCACCAAGTTGACCACCCATCCCCCAAACCCTGGCCTCACACTCAAAATAGCATCACTCAGTTTGTGGGTCAGCTGTCCTCTGTCAGCCAAGGACTTTCCCCTGTTAGGACAAACAGGTCTCATGCTGGCCACGAGTCTGTTCTTGGTCATTGCAGACCCACTGCCCAATGTAACCAACACAAGGCAGCCCCAAGTTGGGCGCCAAAATTACTTATTTATTTTTCTATTTATATCCTGCCTTTTTCCTACAAAGGGCTCAAGGCAGCTTACATCTCCTCCCCCATCGTATCCCCAGAACAACAACCCTGTGAGGTAGGTTGGGCTGAGAGTCTGTGACTGGCCCAAAGTCACCCAGTTGGCTCCATGGCTGAGCAGGGACTAGAACCCAGATCATCTCAGTCCCATGCTCTTAACCACACTGACTCTCAAAATTATGATCCACAGAAGTGGGATTCTGTCCTGGAATGTGCAATAGCCAATCAAGCACTCCAGGAGCATCCCCAAGCTGCGGACACTGCCCTTTACTGGAAGTATGACCAAGTCCAGGGCAGGAAATGGTCATCTCATCTCTCAGAAAGAGCATTCACCAACAGCACTTCCATCTTTGCCTGGATTGAGTTTCAGTGCATTGGTCCTCATCCAGTCCATTATCAAAACACATCCAAGTTCAACAAGGGGACCGGCTCACCTGGATCTGATGTAAGGAGATGTGGAACCGAGTATCATCAGCACACTGCTGATACCTCAGCCCAAACTTCCTGATGAACTCTCCCAGAGGTTTCATGTAAATGTTGAGAAGCTGCTGAAACTGTAAATGAGCACTTTACAAACTGAACTGTATATGCATGTAGAGACCGACATGAAGGAAACAGGGAAATTCTATAGCACAAGGGAGGGAGAATAAGAGGTGAACAACCGACCTTCTCATGGGGTGGTAGGCTCGCAGGGACATTTCCTTATTTATTCATTTAGAATACTTTTATCCAGTCCTATACAATCCAATTGTCTCAGAGATGGCTTACAATATAATATAAACAAACAATAAACACAAACAATCAATGACTATAATAACAAGATAAAATGTGACTAAGGATATTAATAGTAATAAAATCAGATTAAAATTATTTAAGCTTTAAAATGCTGGGCAAATAAAAAAGGTTTTTCCCTGGCACCTAAAAGCATATAAAGCATATTTTCTGACCCTCTACACCACTTGGTTTCCCCTTTACATTTCCTTCTCAGGTGCTCCCATTGCTTCTGCCAGGACAAAATGAGTGAAGTTCTGCCATAAGATGGCTGCTGAAAGTAAGACACTGCAAGAGCTGCTTGAGATTTAAGGTGCAATTCCTGATCTGGTCAGGAATCCATGCTGCATATCTCGCTTCCCAGGTACACCTGAGATATGCTAATCAGCTTGTTCAAGAAGGTCCTTCTTTTATGTTGTCTATTGTTTAACCTATTTAACCTATTGTTTTACTCTCATGTGCCTGTAGCAAACTGTTTACCTGATCCCCCACTTCCCCAAACTGTGTATGTAACTGATAGGTTATAAAAGCATCTAGGGTAATGACCTTAATTCAGTTATTTCCTTCACAGCCACCTTCTTTCTCTACCAAGATTGCTCTCGAAGGTATGCATGTTCTCTCTCTCTCTCTGCCTCTTACTCACTAAGGAGTAAAGTAAAACTAAACATAGGTTTATTTTTACAGATGAAAACATAAAATACACTTTGTTTCTGACATAGCCTATAAATAGTTACAGTCTTTACAATCCAGGCTGAGGCAGCTGCTGCAGTCCCAACAGCCACCCATTGATTTGTAGTCATTCTCTAGATGGTTCTCCTTTTCCTACAAAAGCCATAATAAGAATAAACCTGCTGCTCACAGCTCGATGCCTCTTGATAACATTTTGAGTTCTCACCCTTCCCAGTGAATGCAAAGTGGGTCTTCACCTGCCTGTCTTGATGGGATTTTAGAGAGGTTTGGAAAGAAGGGATGTGGTACCAAGCACATCTTCAAAAGAAGGAATTTGTCATGTATGTTTGTGTCCAATGGTATTTACCCAATGGAGGGAAGTATGAGAATGACATTTCAGTTCACAAATCATTCAAATTTGCCCCATTCACAATCCTGAATGTAGATAACACTGAGCCCAGTGCTAGCATATCCTGAAACTTGTGTGCACATTCCAAAAATGTGTATTTTGCAAAATGTGCTTTTTCACACTTCTGTCCATAGGAGGGGTTGAAGAGCGCACTATTTCCAATGGAAATGCATATTTGTCCACACTAATTAAATGAAATACAAGTTGTTAATAAAACATAGATCTTCTGGATCTAGAGGGGTATTCCTAACACTTTTTTTGACTCTACACAACTGGAGTACTGTGTTCAGTTCTGGGCTCCAAATTACAGGAAGGATATAGCCAGTTTAGAGTCAGTGCAGTGTTGGGCCACAAGGTTGGTGGCCGGTTTGCAGAGGGTGGGGGTATAAGGCGAGACTGAAGGAACTGGGTCTCTTCAGCCTGGAGAAGAGGAGACTCAGAGGGGATCTGTGGGCTACATATAAGTATGTGAGGTGGTGCAACATGGAGGTGAGTAGAGACCTGTTCTCCCCTGCAGAGTAGGGCAGGAAAGCTCAGGGAACCAAGGTTCAATTTGGATGCCAGGAAGAACGCCCTGACAGTTAGGACCCCTAAGGTATTGAATGGGCTTCCATGGGAGGTGGTTAAAGTCCCATTGGTGAGAGGCTAGACCTGCACATGCTACACATTTCATGAGTGAAGCTGGCTGGTCTGGGAGGCCCCTTTGACTCACTCTGTTTCTATGTTTCTGTAATAATGGGTGCAAGATGAACTTGGTTGTGAACTGAGGTGTTTGTGAGCCGAGGTTCCACTGTACTTTAAAACATAAACAAATGAAATATTGCTTTATAAAAAGATAAAAGAATAAAATTAGTTAACAGAAAAGATTTGTCCCTTCTTGCAAATTCATCAGCTTGGCCCAGAATGTTCCTAATCTTCCTTTAATTAAAATTCCTGCAAGAGGGGAAGAAGCTTTTCTGAAGACTTACAATTGTACTGACATTATGGCTATTAATAAACAGGGTGGGATTGAGAAGGTTGCTTTCCATCAAAAAGGACAAAGCTCCAAGGAATTCTCTAGATTGGATGCTAATACCAATTCGACAACTCTCTAATTGTAATCAGTGGGGCATACAGAAATGGCTGCAGTTGTTCTAGCAGACATCATGGCTGAAATCTACCAGACACCATTAGGCTGCAGGATTTGGCTGCTGCTGGAAAGCAGACCCATTTTGAGTAGATTAGGTCTGATCAAAAACATGGGATGGTAGCCAGTGACAAGTAGGGTACCCCAGGGCTCTGTCCTAGCGCTGATCCTGTTTAATCTTTTCATTAATAACATGAAAGAAGGTGTGAACAGTATGCTGATCAATTTCACAGAGGACACTAAAACTGGAGCAGTGGCCACAACTGAGGAGCAGGTACTCCAGAACAGGAAGGCAGGATGCGCTCCAACAGAGCAAAGCTCAGGGAGCCAAGGTTCCATTTGGATGCCAGGAAGCATTTCCTGACAGTTAGGACCCCGAGGGTGTGGAATGGGCTTCCACGGGAGGTGGTTGAGGCCCCATCGGTGCGGGTGTTCAAGGATAGGCTGGACGTGCGCATGGTGGGCATGTCGTGAGCAGAGCCGGCTGGTGCCGGAGGTCAGACTTGATTGCCTGGGAGGCCCCTTCTGACTGTTTCTATGGGTCAATGCCATTCCTATTACCTTGCATAGGGTTCAGCCAGGTCTGTATCTGGCCATGCAGCCCCTCACCCCATATAGAGTGAAGTCAGTCCATGAATCTTGTCATATGATGTTTTGCTCAGTCTAACCTATTACACAGTCTAGCCTATTATTTTGTGAAAGTAAAACGTGTTAGATTTTGGGTTTTTTTATGAGATACACACAAACATTGTTCATAAATATATAAAATATATAAAATAACACCCCAACAGATTATCAAGCACATATTTGAATTTTCAGGGCATCTCTTGCAAAATGCTCTAAATCTATGTGTTCAAAGATTTTACGAGCACAAGCAAATTTGCTACAGCTACATCCTACTAGCTCTTCCTTTAATTTCCTAGAGGTAAAAAGCAAATGTACACACACCAGCAGATCGTTCTGGAGAGATGGCGTGGAGGGCGGGGGGGAAGTAGTAATAACAGCAGGAATGTTACCAAGGAGATTTCCTGGCAGATAGGACAGCAAAACTCCAGAGGTGACGAATTAAAGTATTTTAATCCAATTTATCCAGAAACCATCTGCTCATATGAGAGCCAGCAAGGTTGCATCTGTTCGTATCACTAGCATCGGCATATGACCTGTGGCTGACCCACAAGTTTACAAGGAAGATGAGAGTAAGCAGGCAGGAGAGAAAGAGAGAGAGAATTCTTTCAATTATTGGAATCGGCTCCCTGCAAGTGGACAAAAAAGGTAAGTGATAGGTTTTCTGCTTATGTCCCCTTATTGAACAGCCATAATAGAAATTTTATCAGCTGTCAGTTCTGAACAGGTACAGTAAATACGCTCAGATGCTCAATGGCATAAGTGCTGTTTGTTAGTTTTAACCATTCTGACTTCCTTCCCATGTTCTCAAACTATACTTTTTGTTTTTGATTTGATTTGATTTGTTTTTTTAACCAGGGACAAAAGTGGCAACTTAAAACTGAAGAATCAGTCTATTTTCTGCAATGTGTCCCTTTTGCACTTTTTCATTCCTGTTCATTCTAATACACATACACAGCACACTTTGTGGCACTTGAATACATGTAACTATGAATTGTCATGTGCTTTTTAAGAGAAGTGGATCACACTATTTGGAGACATTCAAAAATCAGAAGGCAAAACATCTTCTGATCTGTGGGTTATAGCCAGTTTGCTGTTCATGATGTTCATCTAACTTAAGTTGGTATCATTTCATTTCAGTGTGGTTAATCTGCCATTCAGTTTATCTTGCGGGGGGGGGGGCACCCATGGCCAGTTTTTTAACTTTGGTATTGCATTGTATGTTTGCTGTGAACTTGTTTCTAAAAGTAGCATTTTGGAAAATGTTTATGGTGTTGCATTGCATTGCCTTGTATGAATTATCGCAAACCATTCAGAGAAGACCACGTGGTAGAGAAAATTAATAATCATAATCACAGCATTAAAATAATTAAATTATTTATATTAAATTACTACATAATGGTGTATTCAAATCCATTATTAAATAATTTGCAATGTTAAAAAGATTGAACAAAATCCTCAAGTATCTCTTATATAAATCAGCAAAACTAAAGGAAAAATAACAGCAAAAAGGAGGACACATACTTGCCCAAGATCTGTATAAGCTAATTTATATGTTACACATATATATGTTATTTTAATTTGCATTTATACATATTATTACAGAAACATAGAAAGAGAACCACTGAGAAGGAGCCTCCCAGGCCATTTACTCTGATGCCAGGCTTCAGCTGGCTCCACTCATGATATGCCTTCCATGTGCATGACCAGCCTATCCTTTACTGATGGGGCTTCAACCAGCTCCCATGGAAGCCCATTCCATACCCTCGGGGTCCTAACCATCAGGAAGTACCTTGGTTCCCTGATTGAACCTTGGTTCCCTGATATTTGCTCCACTGAAATGTGACCGGCCCTCCTCTGCAGGGCAGAACAGGTCTCTACCCACCTCCTTGTGACACCCCTTCACATACTTATATGTTGTCAAATTCCCTTGGAGTCGCCTCTTCTCCAGGCTGAAAAGACCCAGTTCCCTCAGTCTCGCCTCATACGGCATCCCCTGCATACCTGCCACCATCCTTTTGGCCCTATGCTGCACCCATTCCAACCAGACTATATCTTTTCTGTAATGTGGAGCCCAGAACTGAGCACAATACTCCAGTTGTGGGTGCACCAGTGTCATATAGAGTGGTAGTAATACCTCTCTCGATCTATAAACCACACTTCTGGCTATGCAACTAAGGGTGCCATTCGCCCTCTTGACCACTGCATTACACTGCTGACCCATGTTTAGCCTGCGGTCAACTAGCACCCCGAGGTCTTCTTCAGAAGTGCTGCTCTCCAGCCACTTGTCCCCTAACCTTGTCTTATGACACCCATTCCTATTCCCCAACAGCTTATCCACGTTGAATGCCATCCTGTTTTCCTCTGTCCACTTCCACAGCCTGTCTAGATCCTTCTGGATCTGCTGCTCCTCAGTTGTGGCCACTGCCCCAGTTTTAGTACCATCTGGTAATTTGATCAGCAGACTGGTCACCCCTTTTTCCATGTCATTTATGAAAAGAACCCTGCTTGTCACTGGCTGCCATCCTGTTGATTCTCCACTATATAATACAGCACAACTCTTAACCATGGAATACTTGAAACAGATGTCACATGAGTCTCCTGCTCAAGACTAAACTTGGGCCACAGTTGTTTGAGTGTGTTATCTTCAATCTGGATCTGTACAAGGTAGCCATTCCAGCAGAAGCGTGACTTGCCTAAAGCAGGACATCTAGCCACCTCTTCAGGATCTTCAGCAGCAAAGAAATGAAGACAATTTGCTTTCTCAAAGACAATTTGAAAGGGCCCTTGGACAAGATACCCTCTTCTCCCCTTCATTGCCACCAGCTCCTCTCGCTTCTCATCCTCTTTCTCAGCATTACCCTCATTTGCTCATTTCAGAGGCAGAGATCAAGTAGGTAGGATCATGTCCTGCTTTTCCTTCTCTGCCCTACTGTTCTTTGGTCCAGTGTGGGAGGCAGATGCACATCCCCCCCCCCTGCCATGGAGCAGCCCTTCCTTGGGGGAATTGTGTGGACAGACCCTTTCTTGGGCACTTTCTGGAGTGTGCCTGGAATGCCAGGGGTCAAGGCTTCACCCAGGGGCAGGCAACTGCCTGCAGTTTGATGCAATGCAGCCTTCAGGTGTTATCCCACCTGACGCTGCTCTGTCAATCTGTCAGAAATCTTCATTCGAGCAACTGTAAGAAGGCTGCGACTTTTAACGACTCAAGAACAAAGCCTGAGCAGTACCCATAAGATTTTTAATGTTTATATTAATTTATTGTTGTAAGCCGCCCCGAGGCTTCGGCGAATGGGGCGGCATAAAAATGTTTTAATAAATAAATAAATAAAATAAAATATCCAGATGGGGGAGGTAGAAAACAAACAAGCAAACAAACAAAAACAAAAAAACCTATTTCTAGTCTTCATTTGAGAAACAAAATAAAAGAATATCTTGATCATTACTTGTTCGTTTCAATCAAAGTACTGTCATGGTCATGGCAATTAAACGCAGAATAGTTCTGCAAAAAGTAAAAACATAATCTTTATCAGAATAGCACCATTGCAACCATGTGCATACCTGGCCACCCCGCTCAGTGTGTGTGTGTGTTTGCAGGTGCATGCTTGCCTAGTTGTAATTCCCTGGACTGTCACTATGACTGGTTGTTTTGTGGGCCCCTGGGCATTAGGGCCCCAACTGGAAATACTGAGTTTAAGGCCTATCATGCTGCTTCCATGAAAAGACTCCCCATTTGAATGAACACCTTGCTAAGCTCAGTGATACTCTGCCACATCTTTCCAGGGAAAGCAACCCCAAATTCCTCCTGTACGATATCAATTCGGTGATTGTTAGGTTCACAGGTAACCAAACAATCTGTCATTATCTCACCATCACACATTCTCCTATTAATAGCTGCATGAGCAGCAAGGTGCACCTGCTTCCCATATCCACACACTCCACTATTCCCCACATGCATGCACCCATGCACCCTTCATTTCTCCCCGCCCCCACCTCCCTGCACTAACTTTGAGAAGTAGCTTGTTCCTTCAATAGGAGGGGGTAAGAGAAATTATCCTCCTTCCCCTTTCCCCCTTTCCTTTAATTGTTAGGTTCACACTTCAAATGAAGTGTGCAATTTGATGGTTTAATTTAGATTTAATAGGATAATTATTGCATGACAAATTAATGCCAAATAACTATTAACAACATTTCAATGATGGTTTTAAGGAATTTCCAGCAGGATATCTAACAGAGAGCTGGTTGCTTTTACCTTGAGAAATATGTGACGTATAATTGCTGGCATTTTATTTTCACATACATCTCAATTCCACTTCTGGTATTTCATTATCAGGAAATGTAGTTCCTGGACTGCCAAGGCTGCTAGAGCCAATGGATGCAGTAAGGAAATTGTATTATGGTCGTCCTCTAAGAACCATTCACAAGGAGCAGAAGTGCCATTTGCTTACCATCAAGAAGGATGGGGAGAATTTCATTCGGTCTGCATTTTCAAATGAACCAACCTAATTCATACTTTCTGAGTTAATCCACAGAACAGAACCTAATAAGGCTTATGAATTGCATATATTTCTGAATTTTGTGCTGAAATTCTTAGCTCCAAAACTGTATATAAAAATGTGAGTATGAGGGAATGTAGCATACCAAAATGTGTATATTAGGGGAAATTGAATATAGAAATAAATATACATTTTGTGCATTTTAAAGGACTTAATATAATTGAATAATTGTGAAAGTGTAATGGACTGGCAATGGATCGTCCATACATGGCTGGAGCCAAGAAACCTCCCCTCCCTCAGACATTCGAGACCCTGCTTGATACCCCTCATGATGCTGAAGCAGCATTCTGAAGGTCTAACGAGTGTGGGGGTGTGTGAGAGAGAGAGTTGTTACACTGGCACTTTGAATCCAAATGCAGGCATTCACCTGTGCATGGATATAATGAACCTTTTGTCAGTACTGTCTCCAAAAGAATTCACTCTGCAGGTACCAGGGCAGGATGAGAGAGGAAGTTTACATTAAGGAGTTTGAAGGAACATAAGAAATTGCTTTATACTGAGGCAGGTCTGTGATTCTTGAGCAGGCAGTTGCTTTCTAGGTGCTTTGCAGCCATACTTTTGAATGAAAATGCCAGGGACTCAAACCGGACTTGTACGCATGCAAATGATGGCTTGCTGCTAGGCAGCCAGGACCTGGCACATTAATAGCAATAAATTAGCTCCCTGTGAAAAAGAAACATGTTCTTTTATATCAGATTTTTCCACATTTGCATTGCATAAATCAAATATGTGCTTTTCAAAGAGCATGTTCTAAGTATTACTGGTCAACACATCCATTAATTCCTACATTCTGCTGTATTTCTATATCACTTTTCCCACTTAAAACAATTTAAAATTTTAAAAAAGCTGTCCAAAAATATTTTTCAATGAATTTTGAAATATCCAATGTACTAAAAATAGATGTGTTCTAATTCTTATCTGGAAAACAACCAATAAGGGAGCTGAGTACGTTGTCTGAGGAGAGTATGCCATCTTAGGGAGCTGAGAAAGCCTTGCTCCAAGCAAATGCCCACTGCAGCTGTGGAACAGTGTGTCCTTACACAAAAACCCAAGCAGGGGGTGTATGAAAAATCTGTTTCTGCTAATCATTGG